GTAATTGCCAGACGTTAGATTTTATTCATTGTGAAATCTCATGTTTCTTATTTATATTTTCAAACCTCTCTTTTACTTCTTTAAATATAGAATCAATTTCCAATATCTCTGAGGGTCTGATTCTGTGAGTTTTCTTTTTTGTTACTTTTTTTAATTTCATCTAACTCTTACAAATGATATCTTATTTCTTGAAGTGTTTTGTGGTCTTTGATTGTGATACCTTATTCACTGAAACTATATGCATAAAGAAATTCTGGAACATGAATTCAGGGTGTGTTTCTCCAGAAAAATTTTATTGGCTTCTACTATATTAGACATTTGTGGACTACTTGAAATTCAATTCTTAGCTTGTGGCATTTGGAAGAAATAGGGTTTCAGTTTGGGCCTCAAACCCTTATGAAAGTTTTTATTGTTTCTAATGCTCAGAAGAATCTTTATTCAGTTTTCCTCTCCCTCTGAAGCAGAGGTCGAAGTAGACAAGTTAACTTACTAGGCAGAAACAACTTTGGACAGTTGTGGAGCCACATTTCCTCCGACATTTTGGAAGTTATCAGAGAAGTTAGCTGAGCTAACAACTTTTGGAAGTCAGCTCTGCATATCTGAGGGAGAACAGTCCGTAGCAGGCACTATGCTCAGAAGAAGAAAACAGGCTCTGGTCTCCTAGAGTTCCCCCTTTCTAATGAGGCCACTTCTCTGACCAGGGAGCTTCCATGGTTCTAGTGATGTTTTCTGCCTTTTTGATACCATAAGTATGGAGAGTGTGGTGGTGGAGGGCTACTCTCTATGGGAAATTTGGCCATGGTGCATACAGACCATCTCTCCCTGGCCCAACTATGGGATAAAGAGCATTTGGAAGAATTGCCTACATACTATTAATTCTTAGCTCATAAACTTTCCTTCAAATAAACTATCTATGATTCACATGGTGCTAGTGGTGCAAGGGTACAGTCCTTTGTGATTAAAGATTTATTCCATCATTTCCATTCTGACTCTTCTTTTTGGGGTGGTTTTAGAATATTACTCTAATCTTCTATAATACTTGTTCATTATTACTGAGGATAAAGATCACCCAGTATGGGCAATGACCCAAGGCAGCCAGTGGCTTCAGTGGTCATTTACCTCCCTGGAATCAAACACTTCTTTCATTTTTAATCTCTGAAATTTTCTCTTACTTTTTATTTTCCAGATGAGGCATGTATATAAAATGACTATTAAAATTTGCCAGGGCATTTTAAGTGCTCTTAACAGGAAGATTTCAGATAACTTTGTCCATGACTCCTGAAGAAACTTAAGTCAGCCTTCACAGAAGTAATTGTTTTGGTCATTGTTTAACTCTATTTACTCCTGATTTTTCATTCTTTTCCTAACAAAACTGTATCTTGTTACTTATATTACCACTCACCCAGTCAAATGCCTGTTTTGATCAAACCAAATATTCATTATTAAAGATAACAAAGGTCCACTTCTGTTCCAATAGTCAATGACTGAAGAGTGCCCAACATAGCTAATTGATATATAATGAGAAAGAAATTGTCTTATCTGTAGTTTTGGAGGGATGCCAGATTTGACCAAGTTAATTTTCACACGACACAAAATCTCACAACTCAACTCCTGCTGGTATCTCCTCTACAGTTTTTCATATAGGTATTGCCTTTTTCCTCTGTACAGTTAATATTGGAAAAATAACTGTGCATGTTTCCATGTTCCTTACCTGACTAAGGATCAATCCAGTCAAAGTGGAAGAAATTAGTGCTCCTGTTATTCCAATGAAAGATGTAAATGCTTTAAGAAATCCATAATATCTATACAAAAGAAGAATAATACACAAATGAAGTTTAAGAGGGATAATTGCTGATTTTGTGAATTAACCATTCCTACTTCTCAAATTCCACTAAAATGTCAGAAAAAGTATATAAATATAAGCAACTTTCTAGTTTTACCACAAAGTCAGAAACATTGGCATTAGCAGTGAAGAATATGAAGATATTAAGAAAATGGGCCATATTCAGAGTAAAATTCAGCAGATTTAGGAAGCACATAAATACAGTTGAGTTCAGAAGGTGATGTGTATTGGTAATGGGACTGATTTGGGGTTAATAAAAAATAGAAGGGCTCTGTTCACCTCGTCTAGTCCCACAGTAACAGCGCTACTGACCCCAAGAATTGCTCCCAATATTCAGGCAAGGAAACCAGAAGCCTAGTTTACAAGCAACTATGATTAGCCAATCCTGGCTGCTCAAACTAATTTCAACAGGAAATAAGCTACAAAAGCAGGGAAGCCACAGGATAATAGATAAAGAAGGGGTCAAATCCATCAGCCATGAAGAACAAGGAAGTGCCTTTTGGAGAGCAGCATAGTGTCGATTAATCAAGACATGAGTTCAGTCCAGGACTAGGAGTCTTTGTTTTTCCTCCCCTGCAGATTTTACCATTAAAGTTTTGTGTTTCCAGGTCTTCCCTTTTATTAGAGGGAGAGTTTTTTGTTTGTTTCATCCTGTTCATTTTGTTTTATTTGCCTAAGGTTAGCCCATTCCTACTCTGCTTTTGCATGTTGAATGTGGGAGGAGGTGTATAGTTTGTTTAATAATTTATGGGTCCCTGGTGAGAGAGGAGTCACATCTGGACCTAGAGTCCTTGGATGTTGAGCTGTATGTAGTCATTGGGTAGAATTTGCATTGTCTCTTTTTGGGGAGCTGCAGAGTGTGTTCTAATGTGTGAAGAAGAACATTTATGGTTTTGAACAGCTTCAGGTGCAGACTGAGGCAGAAACTGTAAATTGTCCCCAGTATTCATTGTTCCCTTTTTCATTTTAGCAATAGAACTCCTGGAATTTAGGTGGGAATTGGGGACCCTTATGACTTTTATGAGCCCTTGTCACTTTTGTCTTCATGAGCCCCTTATGAAGGGCATATATTAAAAATATTAAAAATTTTATTTTATAACTTCTCTGGTATAAAGACAAATACATTAACATTACACATTAAGATATTTTCTTCCCACTGAGTTTCCTGAAGGGGCAAAAAGATATTTTTCTCCACATAAGAGTTTATTTTTTCTCTTCCAATTTTAAAATAAATTAAAACATTTTCATGCTTTCCTAAAAATATCGTAGGCCTTAGGTACTGTGCAACTGGGAGAAATATGATTATCCAATTAGTAGTGCATTTTAATTTACATATATTCTACACCCTATAAGGTAGTATTCTTTTTCTATTTTTTAAAAAATTTTACTGGCCGGGCATGGTGGCTCACGCCTGTAATCCTACCACTCTGGGAGGCCGAAGCGGGCGGATTGTTTGAGCTCAGGAGTTCGAAACCAGCCTGAGCAAGAGCGAGACCCCGTCTCTACTAAAAACAGAAAGAAATTAATCGGACAACTAAAAAATATATAGAAAAAATTAGCCGGGCATGGTGGCGCATGCCTGTAGTCCCAGCTACTCGGGAGGCTGAGGCA